TTGGTTTGTAGAAGCTGAGAAATTGAAAAACAAAATTTAGGCTTAAGTGAGCCTTCAAGAAATTTATTGGGTGTTATGCATTGAGTTTTAATTTTAAATAATTCTAAAGCCAAATATTTGTAACATTCAGATAAGGCTGAGAGATTACTGGCTGAAGCAGCGTCTAATGGTTCCCAACTGGTGGTGTTTCCAGAAGCATTTGTCGGCGGTTACCCGCGTGGATCAAATTTTGGGGTCACTATTGGTAATCGTACAGCTAAGGGTAAAGAGGAATTCCGGAATTATCACTCTGCAGCCATTGATGTGCCTGGTAAGACCCTATTTTCTTTGTTCTATAGTGAACAATACCTGTCTAGCAAAGCAGCTTCTCTGATAACACGGGTTAAAAGCACAAAATGTATTTGTACCACCACCATCTTCAAATAAAATATTTTCTATGGTAGCACCATGAATAGTGCATAGCAAAGCAGCAGTCAATACACCAGCAACTCCCATCATATGAGGTGGGTTTAACGTCCAATTATGAAATCCTTGAAAAAAGAGGATGAATAAAAATATAACTACTACACCAAAACTAGGTGCAAAGAACCCACTAGATTGACCTAGGGGATAACCAAGAATATAGAAACAAAAATAACAATTGGACTAGAGAATGTGATTGCATTATAAGGTTGTAATTGAACATATCAAGCAAGCTTGAATTGATGTAACATAAAATTTATTAGTCTAAAAGTGCCATGGAGAGTAGCAAAAGTCCATAGTCCGCTTAATTGACGCCAACGAGTAAAATCTTCTTGGGCTTCTAGACTCCATAGTAATAATAGAGAATATACTAAACTATTAGAAAGAGTAGAAACGACGGTAGTTAAGAAATTATGGCCTTCCAAATAGGAATTGGCCAATTCGTGACTATATCATGAAGTTACGAAGGTTGTACCAGTGAACCAACCCCCCAAAATCGAAATAGGAATAAGGAAAGCTCAATAGACCGGACCCGCCTACAAAAACGAAATGGTACCGTAACCAATCATCCATAATATCAAATAAATCATTTTCACTTTTTTGTAAATTTACCAAGGGTTATTGTCATAGTGATCCTTTTATTCAACTACTTTGACCATTTCTAAACACCTCATAGAATTTTCAAGGTGTCCGAAGAGGTGATCATTTCTGTATGATTTCTCACGTGCCCGCCCTTCCAATGGGTTTCATCCATCCAACCTCTATCAGCTNCTCATAGAATTTTCAAGGTGTCCGAAGAGGTGATCATTTCTGTATGATTTCTCACGCGCCGGCCCTTCCAATGGGTTTCATCCATCCAACCTCTATCAGTTGGTCTTTCTAATTTCAATTAATTAAATCGGTCCAATTGAGAATCTTGAATCTCTAATAGCTGCACCTATCTAATTGATGGGGGAGATCGACTCTATGACCACTTTTCCTTAAGCTTCATGCCTCTAGGATTTGGAGAGAGAACAATAGAGAAGGAGGCTATGAGCAAATCAATCTCTGACGTCTCCCTCACTCCATATATATGTATTGCAAAGAAAGAGGAAAGGCTTATATACCCCTTATGGGATATACTTATTATAAGAATGTTATTCCCAAATATATATCTATAATTCTATATATTCTATTTCTAACACTCCCACTTAAGCGGGAGAATATATATCATATAATCTGAGCTTGGAACAAATATCTCTCAAATGAGTACTACTTAAGGACTTGGTAAACATTTTAGCAAGTTATTCCTTAAACTTGACAAATTGTGTGATAATGTCTCCTTACAACTAAGGATCAAAATTTTGTTTCGGTACATTGTTTCGGTCTTCCCGGAAACGGATACATTTTGATATGTTTTGAAAATATTTCGNGCCCTTCCAATGGGTTTCATCCATCCAACCTCTATCAGTTGGTCTTTCTAATTTCAATTAATTAAATCGGTCCAATTGAGAATCTTGAATCTCTAATAGCTGCACCTATCTAATTGATGGGGGAGATCGACTCTATGACCACTTTTCCTTAAGCTTCATGCCTCTAGGATTTGGAGAGAGAACAATAGAGAAGGAGGCTATGAGCAAATCAATCTCTGATGTCTCCCTCACTCCATATATATGTATTGCAAAGAAAGAGGAAAGGCTTATATACCCCTTATGGGATATACTTATTATAAGAATGTTATTCCCAAATATATATCTATAATTCTATATATTCTATTTCTAACACTCCCACTTAAGCGGGGGAATATATATCATATAATCTGAGCTTGGAACAAATATCTCTCAAATGAGTACTACTTAAGGACTTAGTAAACATTTTAGCAAGTTATTCCTTAAACTTGACAAATTGTGTGATAATGTCTCCTTGCAACTAAGGATCAAAATTTTGTTTCGGTACATTGTTTCGGTCTTCCCGGAAACGGATACATTTTGATATGTTTTGAAAATATTTCGATCAGTTTCAGAAACAAAATGAAAAAAATAAAAAATTTAAGATTTATTTTTTTAATATATTGGTTAAAATATACTAAAATATCTTGAAAATACCTTGAAACAGTTCAAAATAGTTGTGCAAATACATTGAAATATAACATTTTAAAATATTATAGAACACCTCGAAGTATTAGAATTTCAATGATTCTATCACTGACTTGTTTTGGTCCCCTTGGAAACGGAAATAGAAATTAAAACGTTTCGGATGTTTCGACTGTTTCGAAACGATATTTTGATCTTTGCTCGCAACACCTTTTTTGGAACGAAATGACAATCAACCTCAATGTGTTTTGTTTGTTCATGAAATACAGGATTAGAAGCTATATGAATAGCCAGCCACTTGATTATTACAGAACAACTGAAGTGGAATTTGAGCTAGAAAACCAATTTCCTCAAGGAAGTATTGTAGCCATGTTAGCTCACTACATGTGTGAGTCATTGCCTAGTATTCGACCTTGACATTAGTGCGTCCTACCATTGTTTGCTACTTACTTTTTCATGTAACTAGATTACCTCCTAAAGGGGTAGAATATCCTATACCAGATCGTTTATCTAAGGGAGAACCTACCCAATCTACATCTGTGAACCATTCCAATTGAAGATGCTCATGCGACTGATAAAACAATCCAAGGCTAGAAGCTCGCTTGAGATAGCGTATAAAATGAATAACAACCTCCCAATGTGGTACTCGAGGAGTCTCCGGAGAGTTTATGATTTGGATTCATAGGGATATCAACTGGCCAACCACCTAAAAACCCAGTTTCCTCCAAAAGATCAAACACATATTTTCTTTGGAACGAACAAATGTCTTGTTTAGAGATAGCAACTTCCCCTTCTCTCTTCCCTCATTGGGATTAGTAGGTTTACTAGACTTTCCTTTCAAACTTGAGGCCTCCACATTGCTAACCTTGAAGTATTTTTTGAACTTTTGTGTAATTAAGGCTAGGTCATTCTCTCCTAATCGGGGTGACTTGAACTTACCTCCCTCTTGTTGAGTTGATCTCAAGGTAATTGCCTTTTCTTTCTTTAGGGATGGAAGGTTCATCTCAAAAGTCAATATCGATCCAACTAGGCCTTCAACCGACACCAACTTCATGTTGACACTAGTTTCCAAAGATGTGACCTTAGCATGAACCTCTCTGGTAGAGATCTTGAGATTTTTCACTTGATGGCCACATCATCAACCTTGGTACCCAATGCAAAAGATGAATTTAAAATGTAGCACACTTTAGAGTAAGATTCACTATATGTTTCATCATCTTTGCATCTTCAAAGTGTCAAATTGAGAGGTATACCTTTAGAGTCTTGACATCTTCACCTTGGAAGTCCCTTCATGAGAAACAACGTGGTGGTGGGAGGGTTCCAAGCCTCTTGGACGGACAATCACATTCTCTCATCAATGGATTAAAGAAATGCTTTCATGCGACCTTTCAATATGTAAAGTTCGATTCATCGGTGATCGTCCAATTGAACCACCTTCCTTTTGAGACTCCATTGAATACTAACTAGTAGTATGAGTATATCTCAATAATGCAAACTAGGGAAGTAAGCAAAAACAAGAAATGCCTACAAGTGTCTATGGACTTGGGTCAACCACGCTTTGATGCCAATTGTTATTCTGGGAGTGGGAATCCAATGTGGATCTTCTCTCACGATTATAGACGTCGAGTTATAGACACTTTATCTAGAGGAAATGATGTTATAGACAATTGAAGTTATTCACAATCATTACCTTTGTCCTATACATAAAGGTGCATATAGAGATGAAATGATGTTGCTTTAACACTTGATCTCATCCCTTCAATAACATTTTCAAATCTTCAACTTGATAGTGTTATGACTATGGAAAATGCTAAGATTTAAAATAGACCACGAAATTAGCCAGTTACAAACTTACAAAATGTACTCNTTTTGAACTTTTGTGTAATTAAGGCTAGGTCATTCTCTCCTAATCGGGGTGACTTGAACTTACCTCCCTCTTGTTGAGTTGATCTCAAGGTAATTGCCTTTTCTTTCTTTAGGGATGGAAGGTTCATCTCAAAAGTCAATATCGATCCAACTAGGCCTTCAACCGACACCAACTTCATGTTGACACTAGTTTCCAAAGATGTGACCTTAGCATGAACCTCTCTGGTAGAGATCTTGAGATTTTTCACTTGATGGCCACATCATCAACCTTGGTACCCAATGCAAAAGATGAATTTAAAATGTAGCACACTTTAGAGTAAGATTCACTATATGTTTCATCATCTTTGCATCTTCAAAGTGTCAAATTGAGAGGTATACCTTTAGAGTCTTGACATCTTCACCTTGGAAGTCCCTTCATGAGAAACAACGTGGTGGTGGGAGGGTTCCAAGCCTCTTGGACAGACAATCACATTCTCTCATCAATGGATTAAAGAAATGCTTTCATGCGACCTTTCAATATGTAAAGTTCGATTCATCGGTGATCGTCCAATTGAACCACCTTCCTTTTGAGACTCCATTGAATACTAACTAGTAGTATGAGTATATCTCAATAATGCAAACTAGGGAAGTAAGCAAAAACAAGAAATGCCTACAAGTGTCTATGGACTTGGGTCAACCACGCTTTGATGCCAATTGTTATTCTGGGAGTGGGAATCCAATGTGGATCTTCTCTCACGATTATAGACGTCGAGTTATAGACACTTTATCTAGAGGAAATGATGTTATAGACAATTGAAGTTATTCACAATCATTACCTTTGTCCTATACATAAAGGTGCATATAGAGATGAAATGATGTTGCTTTAACACTTGATCTCATCCCTTCAATAACATTTTCAAATCTTCAACTT